TTACATAACATGCACATTTTATCAACACTTAGACAGCTTCTGTAAGGTACAACTTTGAGGAGCCATCAAAAAACAAACCAAGTGACCTAAATCTTTATACTTTATAGATTTGTGACCACAACGGCATGGGCAATGCACCACCAACAGGAAATTTGAATCAGAGAAGGGGTCGTTTTGGAAACCGGCCCTTTGGGTAGTTTCAGAGGTAGTTCTAGTAAGGACTTTTATAAACAAAGTTTATACTTAAACATTCTATAATTGATTCCTTTCGGGGAAGTACAAATTTCCTTTCTCCAGTTTGATATAAATTTCCTTTCCATTTATAAAATATATATAGCCAATCACTATACTTGTAAACTCTTGACTATTAGATGTAAGTTTATAGTTAGAGGAACTCCAAACTTCACATCCATATAAAACATAGGTTTGATGGCTTTGTCAAATATGTCTGGTTGACAATCTATTGAAAAAAATCATGATTCCTACATTTGGAAATGGCACCATACATTGCTCTTACACCCTCATCATCCAGTTGTTTAATATTAAATTGTGTCAACCCAGTTTTAGAAAAATAAACCCTAAGCTGTTTGAAATCCTTAGCTATTCCTATAACACTACGTTATATGTAGAAGTAAGGTCATCAGGAATTCTTTTTCTATCAAATACCATGATTTTAGTATTGCTGATAGCTTTTGCAAATCCTCTGTCATGTCAGATATTAATTAGTATGGTGTCATCAGCATAAAGCTTCAAATATACATGTAATTCCTCCTCTAGCTGGTTGTTTATATGAGACACACATGATTTTATAAAATATTTTAAATCATTAAAGAAAAAGTAAAAATAAAAATGAAAGATTATCGCCTTGCCTGGTAGGGGTGTTCTCAAGTGCCAGCATATTTTGAAGGTGTTGTTTCATATAATTATACATGTAAACAGACCCTTTTTCACTTAATATAAAATGTATCTGGGTGTCATACAAAAACAAATCTTCATTGCATTTTGTTATGTAAAGTATATGAAACACCCATATATAGGGCTTAATTTCTACTGCTTAGAAATGTTATATCTCCTACACCTTACCAATAGATAATTTTATTTTGAATAAAATATATTAACATTGAAAACAACTATGGTGAGTCATAACACTGAAATATTTCTTTAGTATCTGACCTTGCAGTCAAAATCAGCGTTAAAATGTTAGATACAAACTAATGTGAATATTTGAGAAAAGAAAAAAAATCCCGTATCATAAAAGCAAACAATAACTATATGATGACAGATAAAATGTTTCATTACATTATTAAATAGCACAGATAAACAAAAAAATATATTGACCCCCCCACACACACAAACACGCACACCCACACATAAATCGTTGATTTACAGTAAGAAAAGAAATTATAAAGTTATTTTAAATAAATATTTCCTTACTATAAGAAACAAGTGTGTTGCAATATTCAAAATCTTGTCAAAAAGAACTTGAATAGTTGAGCATGAATAAATCGTAATAAGCTATTCAAAAGTTACAGTCTACTCATTAAAAAGTTGTCCATTCTCGATCTATTATCAATTCAAATCAAATACTAGGTTTGTCAATTGTTTCGTCTATTTGAGTTCCAAGATTCTTTGACTCTTGACATTGAGTATATACTGAAGAGTACAATATCATCAACTCCGTTCAAATTACTGACCATGGCATATTTATAGAGGTTAAATTACATTTAAACTAATTTAGAACAAAAATACTGTTAACTCCAGGCATTTTATAAAATATTATAATTTATATAATAGGTTAGTCATTTGTTAAATAATAATGCATAAACATTTCACAATATTATTTGTCACATTGATGTGAATTTTTTATTTGACATCCATGTTGTTTGTGATGTAATCTGTGTCAATGTCCTGTGGTAGTTCCAAACTTCCAGACACCTGGGAACCTGTGTTAATTAGTGACACTGATTGATCGATTGAAATATTGTTATATCAAGTTTTATCGAGTGATTTCAATAAGCCAGAAAATACCGAAAAAACTGAAATTTGGCAAAAAATCTGGTATTTTCAAATTTCCCCTCAGAAATCCAAATTATTTTCAAGTTATTTAGGTTAGTGTGTTAATGTTTGAATATAGTTAAATTTGCATACTCAATACAAGTTCTTCTGAGGCATTTTCACACATCAAAACACTATTTAACGAAGTAGGTCGAGCGCACATAATAGTACAAACTTCATACTCCCTTGCACCAGGAAGTTACATAACAAATATCATATTGGGAAAGCTTGTTATTGCAAATTCCTTCTTAACTTTTAGAAAAAAAATCATAACTCAACACAGTGAAAGTACATCAAATGTAGACAGTGCATGAAGGAATAAATGTGCAATTTCACAAAGTCTTGTTATTTTTTTCACATCGATAAAACCAAACCAATATTCAAATTTCTACAGTTGTGCAGAAAGGATTATGTTGAAAAATCATGGATATCTTATAAGCATAAGGTTCTGAAACAAGAGGCCCAGGGGCCTTTATAGCTCACCTCGTATTTTATTTTCAAATTTCAATTTGAAACCTGCCGAGTACCATACAGGTTTATTAAAGGAGTACAAGAAGTACAAGTAGCAAAAAGAACTACATGTATATCTATTTCCCGCATTGGGCCCAGCCTTCTGCACCAAGGGGGTCACAACCTCCATTTATACAAAATTTAGAATTTAGTCAATTGCCTGTAGATGATCTATAACCAATTTGGTGATAATTAGGATAAAATCCCTTTATCCCTATTGAAGGATTTTTAAAAAAATCCTCTATTTCCCCTATTGCGCCCCTCAAAAGCCCCCAGGAGGGCCATAACCTCTGTTTATTATACACAATTGAGAACCCTTTGGCCAATGATGATCTAGACCAAATTAGGATAAAATCGCTTTATCCCTATCGAAGAAGAGGGATTTTAAAGGTTTTACCTCTACTTCCCCTAGTGGGCCCAGCCCCTCGGAGGGCTACACCCTCCGTTTGTACAAACTTGAGGCACTTTTGTCCAAAGATGCATTTGAACAAATTTGATAAAAATCCTTCTATTGGTTGAGAAGAACAAGATTTTTGAAGTTTTACCTATTTTCCCCCTATTTGGTCCCTCCCCTCTGCCCCCAGGGGAGGGGGCATAACTTCTGTTTATACACAATTGAGAATCCTTTGCCCAATGATGATCCAGACCAAATTAGGGTAAAATCCCTTAATCCCTATCGAAGGAAAAGGATTTTTAAGGTTTCGCCTCTATTTCCCCTATTGGGCCGCGCCCCTCTGCCCACAGGATGGCTACACCCTACAGTTGTACAAACTTGAGGCACTTTTGTCCAAAGATGCATTAGAACAAATTTGGTAAAAACTCTTCTATTGGTTGAGAAGAATAAGATTTTGGAAGCTTTACCTATTATCCCCCTAGTTGGTCCCTCCCCTCTGCCCTCAGGGGGGATATAGCCTTTAGACCCCCTTGCCCAAAGATGCTCTAGACCAAATTTAGCCTTCGGGCCAGGTGAGCTAAAAATGCTGTTATTTTTTTGGTTGGTCAAATATCAAACAATGATGCCAAAACTCTAGTTTGAAAATCTATTTTGACTTAAAACTCCAGCTCTGCTGAAGGGACATCAATGAAACTTCATGGAAATGTTCAAAAATTATTGCCTTGACTGATACTGTATTTACTTCCTGGTAGGTCAAAATATTGTTGCCAGTGCTGTCAATTTTAATTTGTTTTTGGTTTAGATTCCTTCTAGTGCATGAAACAAAAAGGATTTAAAGATTAACCTCCATTTTCAACCTTTTGGGTTTTGCCCCCATTCCTCGGAAAAATGGAAAATCACCCTTTTTTTAAAAAATCCAGCATATCCACCTCAATAGGGCCCCGTATCGGAGATACATGTATGGGTGCCCTATAGTAATCACTGTCTGTCTGTCTGTCTGTCCACAAATTTTGTTCCTGGCTGATAACTTTGGTATTGATTGACCGATGTACAGGAAACTTGGTCAAGATGTTCAGTTCACAAAAATATACATTGAGGTAAAAAGTCAAGGTCAAAGGTCAAGGTCATTAGGTTCAAAGGTCAAGGTCAAATTTTACATCTTTTCACTGATCAACATTTTGTTATGACATTATGAAGCAAAGTTGATCAGAATTAAACAAGGAGTCAACTAACCAAAGTTCAAGTCATCGGGTCAGGGGGCAAGGTCAAATTTTGTAGCTTTTCACTGGTGAACATTTCGCTATGACATTATGGAGCAAAGTGGTTCGGAATTAAACAAAGAGACACACTGAGGTAAAAAGTCGAAGTTAAAGGTCAAGGTCATTAGATTCAAACGTCAAGGTCAAATTTTGCACCTTTTCACTGATGAACATTTTGCTATGACATGATGAAGCAAAGTTGATCAGAATTAAACAAGGAGTCAACTAACCAAAGTTCAAGTCATCGGGTCAGGGGTCAAGGTCAAATTTTGTAGCTTTTCACTGGTGAACATTTCGCTATGACATTATGGAGCAAAGTGGTTCGGAATTAAACAAAGAGACACACTGAGGCAAAAAGTCGAAGTTAAAGGTCAAGGTGATTAGATGCAAACGTCAAGGTCAAATTTTGCACCTTTTCACTGATGAACATTTTGTTATGATATTAAGACGCAAAGTTGGTCGGAATTAAAGAATAAGTCAACTGACCAAAGGTCAGGGTCACCGGGTTAATGGTCAAGGTCATTTGGGTCCAAAGTTCAAAGACAAAGTGGATCTCTGACTTTGACTCTGGCTCTTGATGGAGGAGGTATATAAGATGAAATAAAGCAAATCAAAGCTAGCAAATGAGTATTGCACCGGTATTTACATTTCTGTTAGCCCAGCAAATATGGAGGTGGAAGGAAACAAGACTCACATCATAGTACATGTAAAATGTATATTTTGCTTCCTTGCGATTCTTTTTGAAGTCCAAATATCAAACGTCAAGCTCAGCTATATGGGCAGATTGCTTCTTGATGATTATGGGGGATATATTGCCACAAGACGGGGCCCTTACGGACCTGTCAGTGTTCTAGTTGGCCTACTTAATGGCAAAAAGTGTATAAAATCAGATTAAGGAATGACAAATATTTCTGATATTCACCATTGCATCTGAAACACAAGTTGGTTCAAGGTTGTCTCATACTTGACCATTGTCTGAGTTGCATGTTTGTTAGTACTTAATTTGTTAATTGTATTAAGTACATTATCAGAGTTTCTATCTGTTATTGCAGGTGCAATCGCCATGCAGAGATCTGTAACGAAGCAATGGCCCGGATTTGCAAGAAAATCCCCAATATGACCTATGTCCCACATCCCACATTCTGTCATAAAGGAATTGTCAATCGTAGCCCGATATCTACCGATGGTTTACATCTGAAGCCTGCCGGTATACAGCAACTGAAATATGATATCTGGGATGGAATCAAAACGGCGCGCATGAGGAAGGCATACATACCTCCAAAACAACTTTTTGCGGAACCTGATGATGAACAGACAGAACCATCATATGAGGAAAATACATCCTACAGAGATGCACTGCTTAAGACAGAAGATCCAGAGGAAGACACATCATCACATCTACCACCACCACCCCCGAGACCAGGATGCATATCAGAAGATTGGCCGTCACTGGAATCTGGATTTGACCTCACCAGGAAAGATGCCACTACAAGGAGGGACAACGGAACTGATGCAAAGATGAGGACTAATGCAAGGAAAGGCACTGACACTTCCAGCACATTGGACAACACCAGCCTGAAAGACATTTCTCACAAGAAGGATTCAACAACAAAAGAAGGGATGATGTTAAGAAGATAGAAGCAACCACCTGCAGAGTCGCAACTGCAAGGAAGGACAACGGAACTGATGCAAAGATGAGGACTAATGCAAGGAAAGGCACTGACACTTCCAGCACATTGGACAACACCAGTCTGAAAGACATTTCTCGCAAGAAGGATGCCAACACCACAAGAAGGGATGATGTTAAGAGGATAGAAGCAACCACCTGCAGAGACGCAACTACAAGGAGGACCCCCACCACCAGAAAGGATGTCACTAGCAGTAGGGACACAACACTACGAAGTGATGCCAAAACCACGAGAAGGAAGTCCACCAAGCCAAGTGGCATCACCAACGGAGAGGACATGGCCACCACCAGGGACATCACCACAGGGAGAGAGATGACAACCGAAAAGGACTCAACTACAAGGAGGAGCCCCACCAATATTAAGCAAGACAGAAAATACTTCTGTACAGATCAAGAAAAGTCAAATCTGGGACATGAGAGTCAAACAGTAGGGGGCAACTTTGAAAATTTATATGAGTTTCAATCTTTTAATACATATGAAGAATTTAAATCTATTTTTTCAAATTGGAATGATACACAAAAACATGTTTTCAAAATCAAGAGTAGCACTAAAATGGAAAATATACCAGATTGTCCTTACAGGACTGTTGTCTATACATGTGTCCACTATGGAACACCCAGACCAGAGAGGCAAAAGTGAAAAAGAAGACACATGCAATATACTGCATATGCCGAGGTCCTTATGATGGTGAAATAATAAAGTGCAATTTCTGTGATGAATGGTACCATGTTAGATGTAAGTCAGTAGAACCTGAGTCAGATGAATTCCTGTGTAGTGAATTTTGTAAGAGATTATGTGATGGTTAGATTGCAGGGAAGGAAGAGGGTGGATATGATGTTAGGTAGGCGTAGGATTTTAGGTATAGGAGGTTAGGTAGGTGTAGGATGTTAGGTAGGTGAAGGATGTAAGGTAGGTGAAGGATGTTAGGTAGGTGTAGGATGTTAGGTAGGTATATGTTAGGTAGCCGTAGGGTGTTAGGTATAGGGTGTTAGGTAGGTGTAGGATGTTAGGTAGGTGAAGGATGTTAGGTAGGCATAGGATGTTAGGTAGCTGTAGGATGTTAGGTAGGCATAGGATGTAAGGTAGGTATAGGATCTTAGGTAGGTGTTAGAATAGTGTAGGATGTTAGGTAGTAGTAGGATGTTAGGTAGTAGTAGGATAGTGTAGGTGTTAGGTAGGTGTAGGATGTTAGGTAGGTATATGTTAGGTAGCCGTAGGGTGTTAGGTATAGGGTGTTAGGTAGGTGTGGGATGTTAGGTAGGTGAAGGATGTAAGGTAGGTGAAGGATGTTAGGTAGGTGTAGGATGTTAGGTATAGGATGTTAGGTAGGCATAGGTTGTTAGGTAGGTGTAGGATGTTAGGTAGGTATAGGATGTTAGGTAGGCATAGGTTGTTAGGTAGGTGTAGGATGTTAGGTAGGTGTAGGATATTTGGTAGGTGTAGGATTTTAGGTAGGCATAGGATGTTAGGTAGGTGTAGGATGTTAGGTTGGTGTAGGATATTTGGTAGGTGTAGGATTTTATGTAGGTGCAGGATGTTAGGTAGGTGCAGGATGTTAGGTGAATGTAGGGTGTAAGGTAGCCGTAGGATGTAAGATAGGCATATGATGTTAGGTTGGTGTAGGATGTTAGGTAGGTATATGTTAGGTAGTAAAAGGATGTTTGGTATATGATCTTAAGTAGGTGTTAGGATAGTGTAGGATGTTAGGTAGGTATATGATGTTAGGTAGGTGTAGGATGTTAGGTAGGTGTAGGATATTTGGTAGGTGTAGGATTTTAGGTAGGTGTAGGATGTTAAGTAAGTGTAGGATATTTGACAGGTGTTAGAATGTTAGGTATGCATAGGTGTTAGGTATGTGTCCGAGGTTTGACTCCAAGCAGAAGTGCATGTGCCCAGCTCTGTAACAAATTAACTTGAGGTGTGAAAGACTTGCAAAATTATGGTCTTGGATCTGCTTCTTCACCTACAATACTTTATGGTACTGGTACTCAGCAATAACAATGCATACTATAGGACTGTAACACCACTTCTTGAAACATTTCCATTGTTTAAATAGCATTCGATTAACTTCGACAAGGTGAGGAGATATTGCATCGAGACATGCAAAAGCTGCATTAAAACATGAATGAACTACTTTCAATGCCACAGTGATCAAGGATCCAATCATAGGACCTGTATCACTCACATGTAATTTATTTCCCATTTGTTGCCTTTACAGATGGTTTAGTAGCATGACATAATTACTCTATACCTTATAAATCAATGTCGGAAGATTTTAACTAATTTTACCGATTATTCCTCCAAAGTTGGTTAGTCTAAAGCATTCATACAGACTGCTTCATGTAACTTTACACCATGAAGCTACATGCTTAATATGACCATACATCTATCAGATGTCATTGTAAGGTTTTCACAAATTTGATCCCTGCAGATTTGAATATGATAGCATTCAATCACAGCATGATACTGGGTCAGTCATCACCTTATAGTCCCTAGGGTCTTCAGAAGAAGTTACTTAATGGTTTTAACAGTTTTGACATAGAGTGGGTCAAGGTCATTCATTTGAACAAATTAGTTTCATGATAGGTAGCCAGGTAGCTTGCTAACATGTCCAGCTTTTAGAAGTTACTACCCTTTCAGCAAAAAAGGGGTAAAGTGAGATGGGTCAAATATTTTTAAAGAAAATCTAACCATTTGTTCTGTTGGACGGAAAAGATTTGTCTTCGATCTAACCATGAATAAACAGTCAGTTTACTTTTTACATTTTATAATGGATATGTATTCTAGCTAAATGTCAGGAGGGAATCTCCCTTTTAGCTCAGCAGTATACTCTGACTAAACTACAACATTTGGAATCACAGATTTGGCCCCTTGAATGTACATATACTTTTCACTCGGTAACACCTTGCCTATTACAATTGCCCCTCATTTAGTTTTCCAATCAGATTACTGCTAACATATTTCAGGGCCCATTTTTTGTTTTTCTAAAGAATTTTTATATATTGCTTGTCATTGTTTGAAACTTTTAAGAACCCTTATATCTCATGTTTGTGACCTTTCGTGCTGAACTTATTATATGATAATGTGAATTTAAATTTAAACCCTAAATAAATATCTCTTTGAACCTATACTTCCTTGTTGAGTTGTTTGTCTCAACAAGAGATCAAATTTGTGTGACTAAGGACCTGCCAGAACCATTATATGCAGACCTGAACTTGAATCTGGCTTGTGATATGTAGCTGTGATAACTTAGCTCCTGACAATGAGACAATTTTTATATAAGGGACGGGAGAGGTAGTGTATTAATATTAGTACTAATGATACGGGTTAAACCCTCGCCTTTTATAAATAAAAAATATTTAAGAAATATAAACAAATGAAGATAACTACTAAGACCACAACCTCTGCAATTTAACAATTATTTCCTGGGACAATATTATTTAATCATATTCTTCGGTCCTAATTATTCTTGAAAGTCTATTGATTGCCATGCATATATAGATAATGTTAAACAGGTTGGGCACAACAGCTCATATGGGTAATAATCCTGCATTTGGGGAACAGTTACCCATTTGAGTAACAATTTTATTAATGAAATGGGGAATAAAGTGAAATGAAAACACACAAAGTTCTTTTAAACATTATGAACAAAAAAGTGTGTAATTCTTTCAACATGATCCAATAAAAAATACAATGAGATGCAATTGTGTGCAAAAATATGTTAATTCAGATGTCTAAATTTTTGTGAAAATGACAAATTGTATCACCTCCATTACTTATAGTGTGTTGTATAGTAGCTATAAATAGCATACAAAACAATCATGCTCACCTGTCACATTTGCACTGGGTGATCCCACATGACTACACACTGAAGTCAATGGAGAGCAAAGTCAGTGATACTTTGTTGTTATTTATTGGATTAAGTTGAAATAATAACGCCCTTTTTTGCTCCAAAGTCTTTAGAAGAGCTTTGTGTGTTTTCATTTCACTTTATTCCCCATTTCAGTAATGAAATTGTTACTCAAATGGGTAACTGTTACCCAAATGCAGAATCATTACCCATATGATTATCATATGAGCCGTTGTGCCCAACCTGTTAAACCGTACGTTTTGCACGTGCGTCTACAATCCGTGGGTAACAAAACGTTCAGTAATTTGTCTCAATATAACTACAATAGCACCAATAAAGTGATATAATAATTTCTACGGTATATCACTTAAAAATTGAATAATTAAAAGCATAGCCCTACCCAAGCCTTGCACACACAAAGCGAAAGTAAATTCACGCTGCCATATTGCCAGATGAATAATATAATTACTGGGCCCGCGCATCCGAACTGGTCACGTCGTACACAGTATCTATGTTATCGTAAATATGTTTTTTATTAAATATATGTAAAACACAAATATGATTTAAATAGATACACCAATTAGTTAAACATAATACATACTATTTATGTGTTATAAATGAAGCTATTAATTAAGTATTTAACGGTCCATTTGATACGATTGTTTAAAAACAATTTAAGTATGTTTAGAGAGTTATGGGCAATGACATACATCTAAAAAAAACATTATTTTAAATAACAAGAGGCCCATGGGCCTTAACGGTCACCTGAGTCCTACAGTATTTATTTTTGTTGTTGAAATATGTACCAATTTGAGTAAAAAATAGTTAAGTATAATGTTAACTTAACTTTGTCAGGACCATGAGCTGATCATTCCTAGACCGATTTTAAGTAAGATCGGCCTATTAGAAATTGTTTTTAAGTTTAGAATAGGTATTTACAAAATAGCGGCTGTGGTGGCCATATTGGATTTCTGATTGACCTGAAAAATAACAACACTTTGTCAGGACCATGAGTCGATCATT